GCTAGCAAGTGGCAGAAGTAAGAATTAAGCCCAAAGCTTCTGAACTTTCCAGTGGACATTCCACAACCTCAAATGAGTAAGGGAGGGGTCTTTATCCCCTCGACAGGCCCCAGTTGCACTCCACTGCATACAAAGTGGGAGCACTGACCTCAGTAATTACTGTCATTGACCTCACTTAATTCACATGCCAGCCTCTCTGAGTTTTCCTTTAAGGACAAATAACTATGTCTCAAGTCACAGACAGCTCATGAAAACCCCGAAACCTCAAAGTGGCTGGTCTCTGTCTTAGAAAAGTAACTGATGATTATTATCTACATAGGTAGGGAATTTTCCAGCTTCAGAAAAGGGCAAGGGAAAGAAAAGGATGAGAACTTACTTCTCCCGAGAACATCCATGGTGGCTCTATGTCAGCACAGCCATCCCTGAGAGTGACAGTGTTTGGCTCGGTGTCTGTGCATAATAAGTTCTTGATAATCGGTGAATGCTCTCTTGAGTGTGGAATGACTCTGTCCTTGGGGAGGTGGGAGGTGGCCATTCAAAGAGTTCAGGACTTGGGCAGGATTGTCCGAATGCACCAATTACGAGTTATTTCTTATTCAGCTCTTGAGGAGCATGGCCATGACCGTTTTGCTCTCAATTCTTATTTAATTTCTCACCTCTTTGCCTAAATTATTCTCATGTAGCCAAAGCAACATAACTTGACACTCTCGTTTTATCCTCTATCTTTTGTCCAGGTCCAGTTTATCTGATCTCTACTGTTCAGTCTGCCAAGCAGAGTGTCCCTGAAAGCATTAAGACTGTTTAAATTAATATCCTACCAATCCAGAAAAGTTAGAGAAGCCAGTGAGTCTTCACAAAAGGACAGCTCTTCTTCCTTAGCATGATTAATCAGTGAGGGGAGACTATTTTTATAAAATTTAATTTAATTTAATTTTAAGTTTCAGGATACATGTGCAGGACGTTCAGGTTTATTACATAGGTAAACGTGTGCCATGGTGGTTTGCTGCACCCATCAACCCATCACTTAGGTATTAAGCCCAGCATGCATTAGCTATTTATCCTGATGCTCTCCTTTACCCCGCCCAACTGGAGACTATTAATTCCAAGAAAGTAACTGTGAGAACAAAAAGTTGCTAAACAGATGGAAAGGTTCAGGATTAAAAGATATAATATATGAAAAAAAATTAGCTCAGTTCCTGGCCCAGAGAATAGACTGAACAAATGTTCATTGTCTTTCCCCACAAAGTCTTATGTCACAGAGCCTCTAAAAATATTAAAAGACATAATGTGTATTTCTTTTCTTTCTTTCTTTCTTTTTCTTTTTTTTTTTTTTTTTTTTTTTTTTTGAGATGGAGGTTCACTCTTGTTTCCCAGGCTAGAGTGCAGTGGTGCGATCTCAGCTCACTACAACCTCCACCTCCCGGGTTCAAGTGATTCTCCTGCCTCAGCCTTCTGAGTAGCTGGAATTACAGGTGTGTGCCACCACACCTGGCTAATTTTGTATTTTTAATAGAGACAAGGTTTCATCATATTGGTCAGGCTGGTCTCAAACTCCTGACCTCAGATGATCTGCTCACCTTGGTGTCCCAAAGTGCTGGGATTACAGGCATGAGCCATGGCACCTAGTCATTTTCTACATTAACGTTATAAATACACATTATTGGCCGGGCGCGGTGGCTCAAGCCTGTAATCCCAGCACTTTGGGAGGCCGAGACAGGCGCATCACGAAGTCAGGAGATCGAGACTATCCTGGCTAACACAGTGAAACCCCGTCTCTACTAAAAAATACAAAAAACTAGCCGGGCGAGGTGGCGGGCGCCTGTAGTCCCAGCTACTCGGGAGGCTGAGGCAGGGGAATGGCATAAACCCGGGATGTGGAGCTTGCAGTGAGCTGAGATCACCTCACTGCACTCCAGCCTGGGCGACAGAGCAAGACTCTGTCTCAAAAAAAAAAAAAAGTAAATAAATAAATACACATTATTGTGATGATATAAGGTTTAAAGTTTGCACATGACCTCTTTTTTGTTACAGTCACCTGCCAATGCTCTCAGGCCATTTCTCAATCCTTGAGACTCCCAGTCCGTCTCTCATTTCCTTTCCCTGCCATAATCATTGTAGTTTCAATAGTCATAGCAATGGTTCTTCCAGTACCTTCGTTTCTGGGATCTTTGACTTTCCCTCCACCCTTCCTCAGCCACTCACTTCGCAATCTCAACTGTAAGCATCCTGCCCTCTGCCAACACCCTGTCTCTTTCCAGCTTGCTTCCCTAATAAGCCATTGACTTGCTATGATCCACTGTCCTTCACCCCCTCACATTTTCGTTTGACAGGCAATGGGGAAGAAGGAAGACAAAGGTACAACTATGCAGGTGTGAACCACCTGTGTAGGCATCATAGACCATGATATGGAATGTAGATGTGTTTCCACGTAGTTCTACATGAAAAAATCAGTGAATGGAGTTGATGGAAGCAGGTAAGTCTGATTGCTGTGTGAAGAAATGACTTATGAGGACAAAAGGAAACAAATAATGATGAGGCAATTGTAAGAAACAAGGGGAGAAGTAATTGCACATGGACTGGGGCAACAAACAATAAAATGGAGAAAGCAGGCAGGGATGTCACCTATTTTAGAGGCAGACATGACAGGTCTTTGTGATAGCTTGCGTATAGTAATCATGAGGGAGAGGAAGGATTCAAGGATAATTTCTAGTATTTTCTGTTTGTGCAGCTGGATGCTATCATTTACAGAGCTGTGAAGACTGAGAGACAAGCAGATATGAGGGAGGTGAGCACTGGATGAAGGCTGGGTTTTAGACATGTTAAGTTGAAGAGGCCCGTAGGACATTCAAGTGATCATATAGTTAGATTTATGAGAATGGAACTTAAAGGGGTCATTTAGCTGAGAAATACAAAGTTGGGCATTATTAAAATATAGAAGGAACTTAAAATCACAGGAAAGCATGAGATAACTTAGGAAGAGAGTTATAGAAAGAAGAGCTCAGAGCCCAGGACCAAGCAATCATAAACAACAACTTCAGAGGTTAAATGTAGCAAGAGAAAGCAACAATGGACACAGAAAAAGAACAACTAGTGAAGACACATTGCAGAATCTGCTAGAGTTCTGGAAACAACATGTGGTGGTATTTAGGCTTCTGTTTGTGAAGAACAGGAAGACACGTTTTCACTCAAGTTCTAGCCTCCTTGTCAGATTGTTTCTCCACATTCTTCCGCATCCCCTAGGCTCAACTCCAAAATAATTGAGAGACACACTTTTAGTTATTTAGTCTAAGAAAGAGAAGGCTGAGTTGGTGGGTTACAGAGGTGGGAAATGGCCATATAAAAATTGTCAAAAAGATTAAAAGAGATTATGGGTGTTTTCTGTTATTTCCCTGTTCTCTCATTCTCTAGTTTTACTTTCAGGAAGAAATAATTTCTAAGTCTCTTCTTCTTTTCAATTCAAAAAGAAAAAAGACAGAGGGAAAGAAGGAAAGAATAGCACAGATAAATTACGCTAAATGATGATGGTTTCTTGATTAAATTAAGTTCACTTTAAGTATGGTACATAATCAAATCAAGATTATCTTTGCTTTTTAATTTATTGAATATTATCCGTACAATTATTATACTGAGAATCATTTCTGGGACATATAGAATTCTTAAAATTACAAAGAAACTAATATTCTCAGGGAATCATTTGAAAGTGCTGGTATAAGATGTCTACCTCAGCAACACCAGCTGAACTCAATGTGATGATCTCAACAAGTAGGCAAGTATTCCTTGTAGTTTGATGACCTTCTTCCTCTATTTCCGTATGCCTTCCTGGAGAGAGAGCTGATTAAATAATGAGAAACCTCCATTTTTTGGGCCTGGGAATACAGCCAGTAGTTTTCGTATCCAAGATTGTCACTGAAGTACTCTGAGATCTGAGAACCAAGAAGATAGGAATGAGAGCAAGAAAGCAGAGAATCAATGAGCTCAAGTCTGTTGGAAATTGTTTAAGTGCTACTGTTCTTAGTTTGCTTATATACTGGATTGGGTATGGAAATTCAGGGCAAAAGTCAAAGATAAAGGATCAGGGACATACTAAAGAGAAGTCCTTGGTTTTTGTTTTTGCTTTTTGTTGTTGTTTATTTTTTATAAACAACAAAAAATTGTGGTGGGCCCCAATAATCCCCACCTGGTATTCACTCTGTTGGGTGTTTGCCTCCCACTTTGCATCAGGGTCACTCTTAGTTACCGTTAGAATGTGGCTGAAGCATTGGTAAGCGACTCCAAAGTTAGGTGATAAAAGGCACTGGACTTCTACTGTAGCTCTCTTTTTTGGATTATTCACCCTAATGGAAGCTAACTGCCATGTTGTGAGGCTCTCAAACAGCCCTGTGGAAAAGTCTATGTAGAAGGGGACTGAGAGCTCCAGAAAGTAGCTTGGTGGGCTGTTCAGGAAGTGGACTCTCCAGTCCTTCAGATGATTGCAGCCAAGGTCAACATCTTGACTGGGGAATCCAGTGGAGAGACCCTGAGTCAGAACCAGCCTGATAAGCTGTTCCCAGATACCCGACTCTCAGAAAACATGTGAGATAATAAATACTAGTTGTTACAGGCTGTTAAGTTTTGGGGTACTTTATAAGCATCAACAGCCTTTCTTGTTGTTCAAAGCTGGAAAGAAATAGGGCTTAGTAAAAAAAAGAAGAAAAAACCCAAAAAACAAACAAAAAAATAAAATAAAATAAAAATTAAAAAAAAAAAAAAAGAAAGAGGGCTTAGTATCTTTTGGTCTGTGTAGACTTAGTCCTGAAGAAGTGTGTAGCAAATGAAGAAAGTGTGAGGTCACAATTTCTGGAGTCAGGTAGACATATAGCGAGAAATCAACTGTAAATAGTAAGAAAAGTTTCATCTAAGCAAGCAGAATTTCAAGAATAGAGAATAAACAACAGGTAATATGTGGCATCCTGTGCTGCAATTATGATGTCAGGAGCACCCTAACAAGCAGAATGAGTAACAGCAAGGAGTCTATCAGCAGGCTGTATATCCTTGTATCCAGACAGGCAGCACCAGGGAAGACTTTTAGCAGGTAAGAGCCTCAGGCTGAGACTTCTGACTTAGCGCTCATGAAAGAAGATGGGCATGAAGAAAAAGGGACTGGGGACAGGATTATCAAAACGAGGCTCAGGTACTAAGAAAAGTACAAGGACCAAAGCTAATAAGCAATCCACAAAGAAGGGTGAGAACTCGGGAGTAAATCTAGCTGCCAGAAAAGACCCATGAAATCAAAGCTCAATAACTGGAGAAGCTGATTTGTTTAATCCCCCAGAAGTTACCTGGAGCTCCTATGAAAGTGATGAGTCCACCTGCCTAGTATTAATAGTGGTCACTGATCCTAAGATAGAGATAGATATGTGGGCATGATCCAGGTCTGAAAGAGAATCAGGGTTAAAAGAACAGAAGTTTAGGCAAATCCCAAGAACCTGGATTGTTTCTTTGATCTACATAGATTGCTGACAACACTAGAATCTCTTTTCCTATTTTATCCATAAGGATGTAAGAATAGAATCTCAGATTTTTTGGTGTTACCCAGAAGTAAAATTGCTTCCACTGGAATATTTGCTGGATAAGTTTATGTTTTGTTGTCCTACCCACATGGGAGAAATAGAATGAGATAGAGACCTCCATTGGAATAAGAAGTATCCTTAAGAAATATAAATTTAACCAACGCAAAATGTGTAGACCTATGCCAATTGCAATGCTGGGTCATGTGCATGATACTGTTGTGCCATACTACAGATAATTTCTCATGAGCATCTAGTTATTTGCTGACACATTTGATTTTTTTCCCAAAGGAAACTGAAGACAGACTCAGTACCTTTTACAGAGCAATGCTAAGTATACCTGTACAAAACTTTATCATCACTTGTTATTTACTTTGCAGTCTATGTAATAAAGTCACACTGCATTTGTTTGGAGAAACTAGAAATTGGTTTCTAGGCCCAATCTAATTAATTAATTTATTTTTATTTTAGTAAAACATAACATAAAATTTATGATTTTAACCAATTTTAAGTGTAGAGTGGCATTAAGAACATTTACATTGTTGTGCAGCCACCACCACCATCCATCTCTAGTATTATTTCATCAAACCATGTTGACACTCTATGGCAATTAACTCATTCTTCCCTCTCCCCAGCCCCTGATAACTTTTCTTTCTCTATGAATTTGACTACTCTAGGTTCCTCATGTAAGTGGAATCATACAATATTTATCTTTTTATATCTGGTTGATTTTGCCTGGCATTATGTTCTCAAGGTTCACATTGTAGCTTGCATTAGGATTTCATTTGTTTTAAGGCTGCATAATATTGTATTGTATGTACACACCCATTTTGTTAATCCATTCATCTGTTGATGAGACTTAAGTTGTTTCTACATTTTGGCTATTATGAGTAATATTTCTATGATGATTGGGATACAAATATCTGTTCTAATCCTTGCTTAAAATTATTTTGTCTGTATACCCAAAAGTGGAATTGCTGGATCAAGTGATAACTCTATGTTTAATTTTTTGAGGAACCATCATACTGATTTCCACAGTGGATGTACCATTTTGCATTCCATCAGCAATATACAAATGTTCCAACTTCTCTGTGTCCTTGCCAACATTTGTTATTTTCTGTTTTTTTGTTTTGTTTTGTTTTGTTTTAATAATAGCCATCCTAATGGGTAAAGTGGTATCTCACTTTGGCTTTGATTTGCATTTCCCTAATGGTTAGTTGTTAGTGGTGTTGAGTATTTTTTTCATGTGCTTATTGACCATTCATATATCTTCTATGGAGAAATGTCTGTCAAGTCCTTACCTCATTTTTAAATTTTTTTTTTTTTTTTGGTGTTGAGTTTTAGGAATTCGCTCTATATTCTGGATATTAATACCTTATCGGATATGTAATTTGCAAATATTTTCTCCCATTCTGTGAACTGCCTTTTAACTCTGTTGATAGTGTCCTTTTATGCAGAAAAGTTTTTAATTTTGATGAAATACAATTTATATGTTTTCCTTTATCATCTGTCTTTAGTGTCATGGCCAATAAATTATTGACAAATCTAAGATCGTGAATATTTTCTCAATTTTTTCTTCTAAGAGTTTTATAGTTTTAGGCCTTACATTTTGGCCTTTGGTTCATTTTGAGTTAATTTTTGTATATAGTGTCAAGTGAGAGTGCAACTCCATTCTTTTGCATGCGGACATCCAGTTTCCTTAGCACCCTTTGTTGAAAAGACCGTCCTTTCCCCATTGAATGGTCTTGGCACTCTTGTTGAAAATCATTTGACTACATATGTGAGCTTTTATTTCTGGGCTCTATAGGCTATTCCATTTGTCTGTCTGTCTATCTTTATGCCAGTACCATGCTGTTTTGATTACTGTAGCTTTGTAGTAAGTTTTGAAATCAGAAAGTCTGAGAGCTACAGCTATGCTCTTTCTCAAGATTGTTTTGGGTATTCGAGGTCCCTCAAAATTCCATGTAAATTTTAGCATGGATTTTTCCATTTCCGCAAAACTTTCATTGGGATTTTGCTAGGGATTTCATTGAATCTGTAGGTTGCTTAGGATAGTATTACCACCTAATCAACTTGTATGTAATAATCAAAATACTAACAAATGTTTACTGAGTGATTATCATGTGTTGGAAACTCTTCTAAGCACTTTTCATGAATTATCTAATTTAATTTTTGTGACATCATGAGTTAGGAAATATTACTATCTTCACTGCACTGATGAGTAAACCGAGGCTTGGCAAGATGAAGAGAGTTGCCCAGGTCTTTCTTCTGCTTGGTGAATAGCTGTGCAGTGGCATTGGGGGATCCGGGTCTGATGCCAGAGCTCTCCTAAATGAGTTACCACAGATCTTGCAGCTCATTCTGGAAGGCACTGGAGCTGGCGTCTAGGCCAGATGTCCAGATCCAGACACCAATTGCAGAATTACTACCTGGACCTCATCAGCACGTGCCTGGGTCCTGAAGCCCTCTTCTCATAGCCAAGAACACTTGCTGTCCATCAGCAGGTACAGCATTAACCCAGAGCCCTGGCACACAGGCCTCACTGTTAGGAAAGCCTGCTCCTGAGATCATGGGAAAATTTCAGCACAGCTTCCTCTCAACTCCATCTGCAACTGATGTGCCTCCTAGATAAACTGTCATATTATAATCTTTTATCATAAGTATCTTTGCCCTAATAGCTTTTGAACACATGGTGTGTGAGACTCATTTCTTTTTCACTTTTCTCCCTCTTGAATTGAGCCTAGTGCCTGGTCTATGATAGGATCTCAGTAAATACTTGATCTTTTTCAAATACATACAAACATATAAAAGTGAGATATGTATATATATATATACACACACACACAGTATATATTACACATCTATTTATATTGAATATGTATGTGCTCAACTATAATTCTATTACTCTGGGGGAAGAAGAAAATGGTTTTTAGTGTCAGGGGGCAGTCTCAGCTACACATGGTTCCCAGTTATAATTTCCACCTTGTGTTCTAATTGTTAACTAGAACCTAGATTGATTGATCGATTGATTGATTGATTGATTTTTGAGGCAGAGCCTCGCTTTGTTGCCCAGTCTGGAGTGCAGTGGCACAATCTGGGCTCACTACAGCCTCCACCTCTCGGGTTCAAGCGATTCTCGTGTCGTGCCTCAGCCTCCCAAGTAGCTGGGATTATAGGCTAGTGCCACTATGCTTGGCTAGTTTTTGTATTTTTAGTAAAGATGGGCATTTTGCTGTGATGGCCAGGCTGGTCTCGAACTCCTTGCCTCAAGTGATCAGCCTGCCTCAGTCTCCCAAAGTGCTGGGATTACAGATGTGAGCCATCATGCCCGGCCCCTAGTTTTGATTCCTGTTATTGAGAGCTTTTTTTGATGTAAAACCCACTGTCCTCCTCTGACCAGTCCTGAGTCCCTGGGTGCCTCTCGTCATTACGTAGAGAGGCTGAGTCCAGGAGCTTTGCTGTCAGCTGTGAGGAGACTCCCCTGAGTCTACTGTCTATCTGTCAGATCAGCCACATAAATGTCAGCTACAGGGTTCTACTGGGCCACTGGGAAATCTTGTGGCATAGGTTGAATTTTCTGGATATTATCTGTATCTTGTGGACCTGTAACCTGCATGCAACATCCACCTGCCAGCCTGGATCTCCACTTAGAGCTGCGACTGCCTTCCAGCCCCCACACGGACATATCACGAGTTCTAAATGGCTGCATGCCCTCTAATGAAAACCTAACAATTACTGTGGCTTCTAAAACTTTGGGGGATCATAAATCCATTTTGAATAGCTGATGAGAAGTAAATGCCTTCTCTGTAGAAAAAAGAAATATATACATATATGCAAGCATAGATACAATTTTGCATTTAATTTGCAGTTAGCGAACTTCCAAACTGAGGATCTAGAGACTTGGCAGCGTTGGGGGTGGGTCAGGCAGAAGGAGTAGGGCAGACACAAAAGCCACCACCACAGTGGCACTGATTGTCATCACAGTTGTTGCTTCTGCCAGATGGGAGAGGGATGAAGACTTTCATTTGTGATGGAGGACTGCCAGCTCTGGGTGGCAGTTACTCAGTACGACAGGACTCCTTTTATATGTGATTTATTTTATGTATAAAAGGAGTTTTCAAAAATCACAGTCTGTAAAGTGGTTTCATGAATAGGCTGTAATGTGATTACTGAACAAAAAAAAAAGGAGTATGTTCTATCTGTCAGCAGGGGACGATTGCCACCTTTTGCTTAATGTCTTCAGTGTTGAAAAGAAGCGTGGGCAAAGTGAAAAACCCACAATCTAATCTTTCAAATGTGTATCAATAATCATGAGTTAATGGGGCATGAAAAGGAAGGAATTTGAATAATCTTGAGCAAAGATTGCTTCAGATTTTTTTAACATCAATTTTGTAAGTAATTCTAAAATTGAATCAGAAGAAAAAGTAAAATCAGAAAGAATGTTTGGATTTTATTGCTACTGAAAGGTAAAAGAAGAATCTCGTGGAAACCTGAGCTGAAGGTTTTCAAATCATTCTTTCACACA